CGTTAATAAAGAAAAATTTCGATTATTCAATATCTCAGGATAGAAAAAAAGAACTAGAAAAGTTACAACATACCCAAAGAATTAATCTAATGTTTATGCAAAATTTGATTTCGAAAGTCGATTTTTCATGTGACCTGCGTAGGACTACAGATTTTTGTTGAAAAACAACGAAGGTCCGAAAAGCAAAATCATTCTAAACTTTTCTATTACTCGTCAGATGAACACCCGTCTCAGTCGAAAAGCATATCATTACTTCAGATTGAATTTTTGTTCGCTCTATTTTGATTGATATGGTCTAGTTTCCAAAAGAATTTAACAATATTTTTTCAATTCTGAATTCATTCATATCTTTGTGTTTTTTAGAATTCGTTCATGAAAACTGTTCATCATTAGGATTCTTCGCCATCTATGTAATCCATTCAAGAACGTAAATTTGTTGAATATTACCTTTAGTTTTTTTTCATTTGATATCTATACTTTTACAATGAATGTGTATTGATGATTAACCCACTTTTCAGACTAATCTTCTGAAATACTGTTCCATTTCGTAGTATGTTATCTTTTTTTTCTTCGTGTATTAATCAGATACTATTCAAAATAAGAATTGACAGTAGAAAGAAGAAAATAATGCAGTTTTATGACAGATGAATGACTCATCTTTTATATTGCATCATATTATTTTGAAATCACAGTATAAAATGACATAAAAATAAAACACCCTTTCTATACAACCTTTCCTCAGATAATGACACACATAGAAGAAATCGGTTTCAATGGATCGCCAAAAGAAGTTGAGAAAGCTTTGGATCAATGATCAAAGACACTATCGACGTTCAATAAGTTAAAATCGAAGGAAAATGTGTAAGAAATGATTCATCTATTGTTGAAATATAAAACATCTGTGCAGCTGAAACAATTCTCTATAAGCAGTAGCAGGTTCAAAGACTTCAATAGAATTGCTTGGATTAAGATCTTCGAAAAAAATTTTATTTGATAGAGCAAAGTAAGGCGTCACCGAACTTTCCATGTGCTTCCTTCATCGATTTGTTTACGATTAACGAAAATTTAAAAAGCAGTTCAGTGAAGAAAGGTCATGGAGAGGTCGAAGACTTCTCATTTTACTCTATCCAATAAGAATTTTTCTCAAAAGCTTCGAATAGATACGAGAAATTTGATTTTGACCGTCTTGATTTTCTACAGATCCTCATTCAAATGGTTTCGTTGAGATCTTCGAGCCTACTAATGCTGATGGAAAATCCTTTTAGCTGCACGTCTCTCTGTTTTATCAGAGACAGTGATATGTTTTGTTGATATACAATCAAAGACCGTGCCTCAATGCCGTCTAGTTAACTACTTCCTTATTGCATTTCTGAGCATCAAGTAACAGAATGGTAGAGAAATCTCTTCTAAATTAGACTCAATAAAACAATCTTCTTGTGATTAGCAACAGTAACTACATCGTGTTTCACACTTTAATCCCTTATGAAATGCAGTAGCAGTTTTATTATTATTTTTTTGTTCATAGAACACCAAAACCTAATTTTCGAAATATTATGATAACAAGTGCTTTACCTTTTATCAACAATGTACCCCATTCGGATATTCTTTTATTGAATGTTTATCGAGTATTGATGTTTTTCTTGTTCGGTAAAATCAAACAATTTCTTATTCATTTTTTCATTGTTACTGTTAAATTTAAGGTATTATCAGTTGAAAAATTACAATACTTAATTTGCGGTAAATATTTTGATTTACATAAAAAACTTTATAGACGGTTTCAATTAGGCTTGGATTTGTTTTTTGGATGAACTTCAACACAAAAAGAAACTGAGTACGATTTTTATATTAGAAAGCAAAGTACCTGTTCTTTATATCTCATTGGACTGTCTATTTTAGAATTGCTCGAGATATTTCTAGAAACTACATAAACGTATTGAATTTTCGTCAGACTTCTCAAAATTGATCAGTCTGTGATCAATTGATATAGAAAGTATCGACTAGGAGTTTCTATATAAACGCAAACAATATATCGGAAAAACATCACAAAGATAAATGGAACGACGTAGTAAGTATACTATTCCATATTTGAGTCAACATCTTAGTCCTAAATGTTTATCCAAGACTATGTAGTATAGAGGAGGATGGTGTCTAGGTTCGAACATACTATCTCTCACATACATGATGACATTCATAGCAAGGGGGAAAAAGCGAGACTTCATACTTCACGTACTTCACCGTACTTCACTTGTACTTCACTTGTACTTCACTTGTACTTCAGCTGT